AGCAGTGTTGTAGCATCTAGAGTCTGAGAGGTTCTTGACTTGTTTGTAGGGGTTCATTAAAAATGCTGATACTTGTTCTCAGCATATCTTAAAAGATGTCAAATTTACTTATGTTGCTCTGGCTCATGGTTAAAGACCACTGCTGTACGTCAGATCATCGTTTAGTTTGGTGACTGAGTTACTGTCCTGTGTTTTTGTTTAATACAGTATGGGGAACAATTTGGAACAATTTGACTTTATGCAGATAAGAATGATGAGCTGCTGAAATCCCGGGACAAGCAAAATCAAGAAAAGTTCAGTATGGATGTGTGAACAGGTCCAATCCCATCTAACTTGTACTGCTCTGCCTGCCAGCATCATCACCACATTTCCTAGGATTTTGCCACTGGAGGTCTTTGATCCCTGCCTCTGAACAGATTGAGGGTCTGGACCTAGAGAGATTTACATCCGAGTCTAGCCTCGAGAATGAACTGCTGGGAAGCTGGTTCAGCGCACATCTCCTTTCCCTAATTTGGGAGAACTGCTCCCAACCCCTTACAAGTTTCTTTCCCTCCACCTCTGGTTGTGCTCTGAGGGTGTGTAGACTTTGATATTAGGCTTGTTCTGTGTCCCATTTGTTAATGGCCCTTTGTATCAGGAGTTGGTGATGGCAAATAATTTGGCTTCCATTTAGTCCGGACTGATTAGAGTAACAGATGCAACTGGAAATTTTGGGGTCAATTATTTTATGGGACTGAGATGGCGATTATCCAGTAATGCACATTATGACTGATTTGATTACCACTATTATTCATCCATATTTTTAGAAGTAATTTTAAAGATCAGTGTCAGAGGAATGTAGAAGACACATCACACGCTGCTGTGCCCACTGGTCCTTTCTATTCTGTGGCGATGGGAAAGCTCAGTGTCCTTGCTGGAATAGTGTAGAACCAAAAGCTGGGATTGACATCACAGATTAATGAAGATTACATGCAGCGATTACTGGACACAGGATGAATTGTGATGACCTCATGTCCCATCAGAAGACAGTAAATCAGGAGATGTCAGTGGAGGTCCCTGTAGAGGAGCTGGGAACAGGGAGGTGGACATTCAGGTTACCTCTCAAAGACAAGGGAACAGAAACGGCTTAAAGTTTCAGGCAGTTCTTCATTATTGGGACTCGTCTGTAAACAACTATTAGGAATAATTTCCAAAGCTCTGTAAACATTTGGGATTCTGACTTCCCCAAGAAGCTAAAATAAGTCAATGAAGTCACAGATGATCTGCTATGCAGACGCACCCATCCATTGATACCGAATTGTTGGCAGATTGGGATCTTGCATGGGATTACACAGCAGGCCAGGATCTCACATTCTTACTATTCTTCGAATGCAAACAGGCACATCACCCCACATGCAGAGGGCTGACCCCTCTTTTGAAAAAGAAGCGTGCAGATCCCATGCTTGGTGACCCCAACCTGCCCCCGGCTTCCACCTCTCTCTGTTCCCTGTTCTTTTTCATTTCAGCGGCCACCTTCCGCTCACCCGTGTGCCCCTCCATCTAGCGTGGGAACCTACACCTGTGGCTCTCCCCAGACGTCACCACCATTACATCATCTTCATTCACAAAAACAGTCTTGTGTGTTTACCTAAATTCAATTAAAGGATGATTTTTGATCCATTTTGTGCCGTGCCATACAAAGAGAGCACAAGCACACAGATTCACAGTTTGTGACACATAAACATCCAGGTTTTTTTCCCCATGCCCCCCACCTTGACTTCAACCCTAGGATTTCTCAGAGTAAATCCTCTAATCCATTAGGGGAAGGCCTGGGTGGGATTTTGGAGCTTTGACTGACAGAGGACCCTTGCTGTTTTGAGTTGAGGAAAAAGGGCAGGTTAATGAAATTAGAATATTTGGAGTTGTAGCGCAGGTGGATATAAGATTAGGACTCTTAGACTTCACTCATGCAACTGTCCTGCCCAGACTAAGTAACACACATGTTGACACTAATTGCCAACTGTCTCTTCGTGGACAATGAGTTTGATTGGGATGGGGGAGAGTTATGGAATTGGGACAAAGGTCTTTGTTCAGTAGTCTTTACTCATCCCCTCCCCCACTCCTCCCCTTTATCCCCCCGCCCATCCATCTATCTTGTTCCAACCATTTGGGCAGCTGTCACTTAATCCAGCTAATCAGACTGGGATGGTCTGTGGTAAACCAGACTAGTACGTGGCTTTGCTCATGCCCGACACACACGGACTCGGGAGTATTTAACCAGACCTTTACAACAGGTAGGCATGCAAGCAAGCCTGAGGTGCGGGTCAGAATATGGCCACCTGTTCTTTAATTCTGCCTCGTGATGAGGTTTGCAACACTTGAGGGCATCATCCTAAAAACCCCAGTCACTAATGCATGCATACATGCATGCATTGCCACCTATAGTTCCTTGTGTATGCGTTGGCATATGCAGACATCCACCCACATGCTCAAACTGGAGCAGCCAGCCCACCCTTTTGTTATGGGGGGAGGGTAGATCTGTGGAAAGGTCAGAAGCTGAACTACATGTCGTGGGGTGATCTACGTTCCTGACAAGTAATCCATTTTTGAGGCTGCGTCTGCAGTTGGACAGTTTGGTAGAGCTTTGGACGAGCATCATCCATACACTGTCTTACTACTCTGAAATCCCCAGGCTCCTCTCCCTAAACTCTAGCTTTTCCTCTCCTCTACCCCAGCCTCGTTTTGACTTCTCATGCCTTTCCTACAGCTACATTCTCACACAGCTGTAGCCCTCATGTCCAGACTCACAGCCGAGCTTGCCCCGTCCCATCATCTACAGTGCTTTTCTTTTGTCACCCGTGATCTTCCACAATAACACTCCCCTCCCCTTCCTCCTGCCATCACCCACAGCCAGACAAGCCTACTTAATCCCACTGCTGCAGCCAGCCTACCAGCTTGTTTGTCCCCCAGATCAACAACACACACACTGACAAAAACATTTTCCTTCTCCCTGTGAATTTCTCCTTTTCACTTCAACCAACCACAAGTTCCTCAAATACATGCCTTATGCTTTATCTTTCTGTTCTACCATCCCCCAGGTCAATATCCTATCAAAGACTTTACAGTAGATATCACAGCAGCCACACTGTGGCTCCTACACCTGTCACTGGTGATGATGTAATGAGTGCTATTTAGGTTGAATAGTAGTGTGCCCTGCAGCACGCCAGCTGGATTACTCCTGTGATACTGGTTAGCTTGGTTAGTTTCCATGTGGGGGTGGGGGTGTGTGTGTGTGTGTGTTTACCAGTGTCAGCTGTGCAGAAAGCTCAGGTTTTTGCTTCAAGTCATACTAGTGATAATTGCTGTAATCGATCAACAGAAAATTAATTGGCAACCGTCTTAATGTTCAATAAATTGTCGCTGCTCTTGCAGTAAATTTCTAAAATTTCAGTCTCCACCTTCTTAAATATGATTTGTTTGCTTCTTTTCTGTCATATGATAATAGTGTTTTTGCTTGTATAAAACAGCAGGA